GGTACAGAGTTGACTATCAGTATTTGTGTACAGTATGTGATGATCAAATCAATATTATTATTATGCTCATTAAATACATTTAAAAATGGTTGGTATTAAAAACTCAAGTTCAACAAAGAGTAAAAAAATTAACTTGCATAAATATTTTCATATGAGTATAGAGAAAATTTGCTCTTAAGTTATCTTGGTTTGATCTAGTATCCTAGACAGTGGTGATTTTAAGCTCAAATATCTTAAAATGACTTAGGGGCAATTTTGTCTGGACAGGATATAAACTAGACCTTTAAATGTCCCTTTCATCTTTTACGTTCTGTGTGGCCTTTAGTGGACTAAATTAATGAATGCTTTTCACCATGCCCAGACACATCCTGTTGACTAGGTCTTTGTGTTGTTGGACGGTAAAGGACTGAACAACAGGACTACTAAGAATAAATACAATGTCAGTGAAACAGAAATATTTTGGGAAAATTTAGAAAAAAGCAGGACAGTTAGAATGCTGGACACATCTTAAAATGCATCGATTCTCAGATATGGCTGCAAAGTACGTAATGAAATTTAGAAGAGAAATTGTGTAACATAAATACATATGTTTATAAGTGAGTGAAACCCTGCAAGGGAATCGAACTAAAAAGTCATGAGTGAATCTGCGGGTAGGGTGAGTGAGAGGGAGACAGAATGAGAGGGGGGTTGGGGGTTGGAATGAGAGAGCGGAAGATAAACTGAGCACACTTGAAGACACTGGACAACTAACACATGAATGCAACTTACTTCCATTATGAATTCTCTCTAGTAATATATTTTCTTCACTGTCAAGTCATAGAGGAGAGAAAATTAACATTTTACATATATGGGAAACTACTGCTGTGACTAAAGGCATATTTTAAAATATTGAGTTCAATATTCTAAAGGGAATATAAAAAATAAAGAAAAATGGAAAACAAGACATACCTTAAATCTATTTTTATTAAAAAAAAAACAAATTTTTTTGAAATCCAGATATATAGTTTATTTCTTCAGAATTATACCATATTTTAGAAAATCCTTTACTTGTGTGTCACATGATGTTTTGAATAAAGGAAAATACTCCTACCGTTTTTTTAATCATGTCTTTTTCTTCCTTCTGCTGAAGAATTGGCTGAAGTGGTGGGAATTCCTCTGTACTTCGCTTCCTAATGATGGGATGCCCAAGGTGGTAAGCAGCTTCAATCTGAATTGGGGTGAGGATGTCCCGCACATCTTTCTGAGGAAATTAAAAACCGTATAAATTAATAACAACAATAAGCATGTAAATAAAATATATATTGAGAGAGAACTTCTTTTCTGCTCAAGGCCAAATGCAACAGGTAGAAGCCAAAGCAAATCCTTACTTTTTATCTAAATTGTTTTAAAAGATTACTTTAAAAAATTGAACAGTTATATTTTTTCACATTACAAAAGCATTCATGTTTCTTACGAAAAACACAAAAAGAATATAAAAAAGGAAAACTATAACCATCAATAACAGTGACACATTTGGACATATTTCCTTCTATGCATTTTTTCTTTATAACTTGACATTATAACATGAACATTTTTCATTATAAACTTTTTTAGAAACCACTTTCAAAGTGCTGATCAATATTTTATTCCATTTAACATTATTCTATACTAAACTTGTAGAAAAATGATCTTTCAATTTAATCAAGTTTTTAAAATATCTCAGTAACATTTTGATTCAATTTGATTCATTTGACTCTATATTTATTATGAAATATCCCTTTGTTATTCTTTACAGACCTTTTACCATCATATTTTCTAACATTATAAATGGCATATAGGAAAGTCATTTGTTTTATATATTTAATTCTATATTCTCGACACTTTACTGACTTTCTCATTAGTTGTTATAGTCTTTTAGGTTTTTTGTGCTTTTATACTTCACAAAGAAAGAGCTCTTGGATTTATTTATCAATTACACAGGAATTACAACCATTCAGAATCCATTCTGCTCTATGGCATTCTTTTGAATTTAATATCTTAACTAATTTCTACACAGAATTTCTCATTCCTATTCTTATTTATATGTAGTAATAAAAGTCTTTTTGAAAGATTAGATTTTAAAAATTTATTGCCCTCTGCCCTCAAAGAAACAGCTCTTGAGTTTATTTCAACTGATTATCAATTCTTATATCTTAATCTTTATCTCTATATGCAAGCATTATTTTTTTCCTTTAAAAATTTTCTGTGAAGTTAAAAATTATTTTATCATCTTTTCATTTGATTTTTTGCTAGCCTTTTCATTAAGAAAATATACCATGTTACTATCAAAATTATTTGCTAACATATGTATGCACAAAAAGTGAAATAAAAAAAAA